GATGAATGAAAGAGCCGTATCTAGTGTGATTTCCCTGGGGCGAAGTCGACCGATCAGACGATTGAGTGGGTGGTTGAAAACCGCACTGGGAAACCTAATATCCCCGGGTAACGCTCCCACCATCTCCACCTCAACCTCTCTGTTATATTCTCTTTTGGGGTCCCCGAAGTGAGAAGAAGCGGTAGAGCTAAAGAAGAAACACGAGATCCTTGCTCGATGGAAGCCTCATTGGAATCGCAAGACGAGTCCCACTATACTTAATCGACGATACCCAAGTCCTCTACCAATATCGATCACAGTTTGAGGATACAGCAGTCTCAATGGGATCTCAGTCATCCTCATCCTCACCCTCTACTCTCTCCGCCACATCTTCCCCGAAATCATTGACAAAAGGAAATGAGAGAGACCCGGTGAGAAAGAAAAAATAACTTCAAAAATCCATTTCGCGCGGGCCATTAGACGCTCCAGCGTTGGCCAAACATTCTACCCTTCCAATGTAAACTTTCCATTTTTCAGAGTCAATTCGTTTCTTTTGTAAACTCCCCGCATCGCACAATATATGAGAGACGACAAAAATCTATACGGAGAATTTGAGAATGTTACTCTCGTTATTCTCGCATGAAAATAATGGCTGAAGTTAAAAGGAATATGGGGGAATGAAAAATGTGGAGATTGGAATGGAGGGAGATGAGGTATTATATAAAAAGGAGATATATACTTATGGAAAGTGGGGGCAAGAGGTGAGGGGGCGTAATGACTCGTTTTGGGTTTCGCCTTTGGCATGTGCGTGTACACCGCCACTGGCCCGATCATTTTACTGCAGCATCCGTACATGCTCCTCATTATCCCAAATTTTTATTCAAACTTTTCCCTTTTTTTCTCATCTCTCACTCTTTTTTCTCCAGCTCTTTGTTCAAACGAGAGTTGGGGGAGGAAGAAATTATTTGGAGTGAATATTTTTCTCATGCGCTGGGGGAAAATTTCTCACGGCTGTTTCTCTGTTGTGAGGGAAGAGTTCCGATGGAAATGGGAATTTGGAGGAAATTGTATAACATATGCGAAAAGCGGAATGATTTTACATGATGAGGTGAATGCCGTATTGAGTCTGTAACGAAGAGAACAAATTTACCAGGTGTTTTGTCTGGAAATATTTACGAATTTATGGTGTAACTGATCATCTCAATTATTACAACTTCATTTTGGAATAACGTGAATTCGCGTTGGTAACTTTATGTTGGTGCAATAACAAGAGGAGTTTTAGTCAACAATTGAATTTATCCCTGTGAGAATTTTTTATTAGTCATGTCGAATGGCGGTTTATAATACAGAACCCACAAATACGCAATAATATCATATTGGAATATACCAATAATAAAATCATTGGCATTAACCAGTCAACGTGAAATTCGATAATGATATTCGAGCCAAGCTTTGAGTGGATAAAGCACGTTCTGTGGTTTCGATGCATTTGTGAAACTGGCAAAGCGCGCTAGAGCATTCAAATTCATTGTATATATGGAAGACACATCGGGTAAAACAATAATTAATAAACGCATCGTTGAACTGTGATACTCCCTACAGAGTTATGGGCGCACTCTCTCATGCTCCTATAAATACAGTAACAGACTTAATTATCAGACTGGAATCAATGGATTTGTATTTATAAATCGTCGAGTATCAAATGGCCTGTAATTCACGACATGAAGAGCAGTTTATGTGAATTGGCTAGTTGCTAGACATTTCCTGCCGACTATTAACACAAATCATTGTATGTAATGGATTTTCGGAAATTTCAATTCTCCAATTTCGCTCACAGCCCAACTATTCCAAGTGAATAAATAAATTCGATGGAGAATTCTATAAATTTACTCGAATAACATTGGAATTCTAGGACTTCACTGACTCCGATGGAAATAAAAACTAGAAAACAAGATAGGTAGATAGAAAAATGGATCTTAATGACCTAGCTGTGCCTGCCGATAGGTATGCCATCAGCATATACCCTGGGTGGAAATGTGACACTCGTATCCCCATATACACTCGTTATCTGGACTTCTCGAACTGGGAAAATTCTTGTCCCGAGTGGTTTACAAATGTATACGAGATAAGAACCCCCACAATATTCGTTTGAAAAAGGGAGGGGCTTCCCCTCTACTGCTCAGTTGAAAATAAAGGAGATTCGGTATCGGCTACTCGGGGCCCTTATTTTAAAATCCACTCTCAAGTACCCTAAATCTTCAAATAAGACCTGAAAGCGGATGTCTACCTCTGTCCTTATTTTGCTGCATTACGCCCGTCCAAGGACCCGCCCAAATTGTCTTCTGATGCTCGTTTGTGGGCTCCTGTAGGAGGAATATCTATCGAATTACTTGATAGGAGAGCCTAATGGTTTTCAATCCCCCTAATCCAGGTACTCTCGATACGTTTGTTAGAAATAGATTCATGGATGACAACACGGGTAAACTTGGGAGCAACTTATCACCAAAATTGAATCGAGAATTCGATGACCGAGTCGTACCCAGAGTTAAGCCAAGGCTATGAGAAGATTATGTACAAGCCCTCATATTCTCATCATCTTCGAGGATCAATCCTGTTTACTTACAGAGAATAAAGAATCGTGAGTTTGCATATAGTTTGAACAATTCTCTCCCTGACCGATCCATCCATCAAAAGATTCACCGGAAAGACGAAAGTAATTGAATCCAGCAGTTGAAATAAAGTACAAGAAAAATTCCACTCGTTTCTGTCACCGAGCCCAGGATCGTCCCTTTTCGTGTCACTTAGTTTCAAGTGAACCGGAACCTGGTGCTCCCTTTTTTTCCTCATCCAATCGCTGAAGAAAGGAACTCGGGTGGATTCCTCTGAAGACAATTCCCTGGACGCTCGAATTTTCCTTTTTTTTTTCACAAATTAGGTTTTCCAGTGAATCCAGCGTTTCCCTTTGAACTCCAGCCCTCCCACTAGCCACGATATTCCAGGATGGAAGTCGGGGTAGCCTCCAAGTTACTTTGGCCAGGAGAAGGGCCTTTCCCTGGCCTTCATCTGAAATTCGATTTCTCTGTCTTTGGCCTCAAACCCCTCGGACATATGTGCATCACTTCTTATTGAGGGAAAGCTGCTCTCCCAGCCCTCACCCGTGTCATCCGCCTTTTGAGGGCCCTTGAGACTCATCACCGGGGGAAGGAAAAAAATTCACCACTTCGATTCAATTAATATTCGCCAGCGTCAATAATTAATGCAACGACAAGACCCCCGAGGTCGATGACAAGGCATCCAGCTAATATCGCTTGTCTCCCTTTTTGCTCGATCCTTCTTCCATGTATCACTATCTCTCTCTGTTTTCTGTACTTTGAAGGCGCCTTCCAGTTCGACATCACAGGGGCAGACATATTATCCGATCGAGAGTGCTCCAGGAATATTCCGTGCGTATGTATTTCTCACACAGTAACTGACGATGTAGCGCTTTGGTATCTCACGGTTGAAGATAGTTGGGAAAGGATTCCTTCTGCCTCTGAGGCACCTCAACTGTACACCAACAGCAACCGAGCGACTGCTAATCGAGTTATCGATCCTCTCAGAGTATGGCTGTAACTATATAATACGTCTGTATTTATTGCATTTTCAGGGAGTCAGTTTTAATCAACTTGGATGATGTGAGATGTGTCAATGTCATTATTTGTCAATTGACCGCAGGGAAAGTACGGTGTACGCTGTCAAGTTTTTTCGTGATCGGCTGGTTATTTCAGAGGAACTTGATGGCTTCGTTGGTCTCATTTTCTTATCAAATGGAAAGAATATCGGAGAGTTACTCACAATTCCACGAATTACGGTCCATTTCGTGGGAATATTTGTATTATTAGTCTGAGATTTCTAGTTCTATTCGTGCATTACATGAAAATTGTTCGACAGGAAATCCAATTTCAGTGCAATTAACATGTCTCTCACTGCTTACATTGCCTGAGAATTTATCGACATTTAATCAATAGACAGGAAGTATTAATATCATTATCATTAATTAAAACAAAATATCGCTGACCTGCTCGAGTCATAATCAGTGAATATAAAAAATTGACTGAGCAGAGTGAAATTATAAAAATTTGATTGAATCTGGATAACAAATGAGGGAGTGCGGGGGAAATATTCATTCGATTCGAATGGAGCATTCCATTAAGCGCAAGATATCAGAAAATAAATCACGAGAAAAAAAAAATCAGACATGTTCTCCATCATTGCACTTGAAATCTTGGCGTTCATAAAAACTCGGAGTTGTTCCTACCACGTTTGTCAGACAACATCTGGAAAGGATGTACAGATACCTCGGGTTGTAAAATGAGAAGGAAATAGGTACGAGCTGCTGTATGTACCGAAGAAAAATTCCAATATGCCTCGAAACTCCTACCGAGCGTGCTTGGAATGCATTCGTAGCTTTGATTGTGCCACGGAAGCATATTTTTCTCCTACTTTTCGATATTGCACAGAAGCTCCACTTTATAACTACACACTGTGGGTGGCTCTATCCGTTCTCACAATTTTTTACCTCTCAATGTTTTACCTCTCCTCGGTCTATCGTCAAGTGTTTCAAATCAAGAATACTGCCTCGAAAATTTTAATATTTCATCGTACCGCCCGTACCTCTCAGAGTGATTTGCGAGAATGATATCTAACTTACCTCGTTCGTCAGTCTCGCAGCGTCATCGCTCTTAAGATTCTTTACCTCTTTTTTCTTCGGGCTCAACTCATAAAAACCACAACTTCACTTAACTTGACTTGTGGTTTTACATCGTGCAATCATGAAGTTTTTAATAATGAAAGAAAACCAACAACAGTCTCAGTAAAAGACACCACAGCTTTCTCCACCTTGTTCGTATTAACATGAAAAGTATAACGAAGAACAGCGTAGAATTATATCCCGACGAATTAACTAGATTGAAAAAAATATCAAGTCTTGACAGAATTAATGATCCCCATTGACCAGTGTTTTTTTCAATTTATGATTCCAGGTGATGCCTACGCACATTCCGAACTCCTCATCAAGCCGAGCGAAGTAGCACCTCCATCAATGTAAGCCACACCAAAAGAAGAAGGCAAACCTCAATAACCCCCCCAGCCACATAAACTTTAATTCCACAATCAATAATCCCCATTGCCTCCACCTTAGGTGGTACCGTGGATAAAAAAAAAAAGAATTTGGCAATTAAAGTTCTCGCGAGAACAAGTGATACGTACCCTGTAAATAGGGTACGTTTATAAAATCGGACATTGAACAGCATCAAGATAAAGTCACCGGCCTTGCCCCAACGGGATGAGCAGGATCGGGTACTGGGGTTAGTGGTGGACACCGGTGTAGGCGAGGCAGGGCCTACCGGCCGAGAAGGGGGCCCCGTGCTTGGCCCCCCAACGGGCCAGTCACATGCTGTAGAATCATCAGTATCACCGGCATACGTTGCCAATGCTCTTGCCCTGGCTTGCAGTTTACCCAATCATCTCAAAGACAACAAACAACCAGTATTGACCATAAGTGTTAATCCACGAATTATCGATACACTCGATCATCAATCAAATAATCAAGCGATCAATCGTATTGGCAGTGAGCAGAACCTAGAATCAGTGATAAATTGCACCCGTGACCAACAATTTAACGGACAATTCGGTGTTTGCACCAGAGTGATCATTCCATCCCAGAATATTGTTCGTGTTACCAACGTCAGTGTCAACAAACGCTCTCGTAAATTCGTAGAAATACTCGAGGGATCCAACGAGAAGGTCAAGAGTATAAACGAGAAGCTACTCGGTATGGCACGTGCCATGACACCAACGTGGTCGATGCGCCTGTTAGGCGTCAGTTGTGGTTCGGTGGTTTGCGCCTGGGGATTGCTACTTGTACTCTCTGTACTTGGTGGTGCTTCGCACAGCACTGATTTGGGGGGTTTTGGCTTTGATAATGCTGGTACCATGGAGGATCTCAATGGAGGCAGATGCCCGTGGGCGTGCTCCTGCAAGGGACAGGAGCTCAACTGCTCGGAGAGAGGACTCACGCAGGTGCCAGGGGATCTCACTGTGCTCGCCGAAAAACTGTGAGTTCTCATTACTTCATTCTAATATTCAAAAAAACAAAGAAAAAAACAATAACTCCAAGTCGCTGCGTGACACGTATTGAATTACGATATCGAAAATGCGACAGTATGAAAAATCCACGATATTTGTATAAAGTACTCGGCCGGCAAGACCTCAGGCCCCGGGGCCATGCAATCCGGCATGATTTACCACTCATTACCATAAATGTCTGGAAGCTTCGTCACCACTCTGGTACAAGTGCGAATCAATGAGCATGCTTGTCGACTCCTCGCACCTCCCTTTTAGCTAAATAAAAAAGTCGTGTAATATGTGAGCATAATCAGCGGTACTGAAGCGCGAGTGAGGGAAGCATTTAATAAAATACACACTAGCCCCGAGGTATTAACGATACGCTCCTGAATTAGCATACGATTAATATTCCGATGAGTGTGGCAAAGGGACAGAAATAATTAAATTCTCGGTGTGCTAACGCAACTTGGAAATGGCGTAATGTATCCCATCGCATTAGCCTGATGTTTTCCCCAATGCAGAATAATTAAAGATTAATGTTTTTGGTTATTTTTTCAATATATTTTTTGAAGAGGGGCCAACAAAATAGTCTGGTTAATGCTTAATGTGATATTAACAGGGATTATGAATAATTAAGAACAGCCATTGCAACCCTTTGCTACTCACTCAATATACCCGACCCCATTCACAATTTCACTCTCCACCGGATGATTTGCATGGTGTATCGATCTCAACCTGAAGTTTACCAGGCGTACTGGTTTCATCCTTTATTTAATTAAGTCAGTACAACTTCAACCCCATCTGTCTTATCTTCGCATCCTTGTTAATGCTAATTGGCGGGCGATAATCAATTATATTTTTCTACAAGTGGATATACCTTCTAGGAAAGGAAATTGTACAAATCACTTCGTTATCAAATTCCCAAGTACTCTAATGAGAGAAAAAAATAATATACAGGAAAAGTATCCTCGACTTGCCCCAATGCGCAGGCCAATTTATAAATACGAAAGCGATACGTAAATAGACATTTCTTTGATTAGAGAGTCAAAGGCTGCTAAATAGATTGATTCATATTCTCTTGAATTTGATTATTGGTACGGTTCATGGGGGGAGTAGTTAAAAATTATGCACTCAAAACTGCTCCATTGCCGTCATAAATCCAGTATGATTACGCCGAGATAAATTAGTCACAACTTCACAAAGAAATTCTCACCTAAATTATGACACGGTGGATATGCCCCTTTGGCGCACGAAGAAATTCTCGCTCTTTGATCCGAAATACACGAGCGAGAATGCTAATTGACGGGCAGATTAACACGCTAGATAACTGAAACGTCGTAAAACCATCGCTGGTGAACCCACACAAAGTAACTCACGACCAGAAAAACAGGACCGTGCCTATTTTTTAACGATCCAAGGGGGTCACAGTATTTTTTTCATGGCTTTTTACTTCATTCCATTTTATTTCTACAACCAACAGCACGACAGATCAATGGAATCGATTGAATGTTCATATACCTGCTCAGACATATTTCGATATCAAGATAACGAGTGGGAGATGACACGGGCGGACAAACGGTTCGTGTTTCTCTCCGATATTCGTGTTTCTCTGAATTTTTCTTCTCGTGTTTAATTTTTTTGAAGAAAAAGAGGATTTTTCTCTTCAAATGTCAGGGGATGTCATGAGAAATGTATTCCACATGTTGGGTGGTGGTTGTGACGAGAGTTAATAGAGGTTATAGGAATCGCGTGTGCTTTTCCGCGGGTTGTAAAATTCTGGATGGGGAATTATGACGGTCATGCGTGTAACCACGGTACGAAGAGGTAGAGAATTTCCAGCGTTAACCACAAATTGTACCTTCCCGCGATTGTATACTCCACGATTGGTTGAAGCTATGTGTATGCCAGAGACGCTATATGCCTGAGGGGGGGGGGGGCAATGTATACGAGTGAAGGGGGAGAAGGGATATATTTCGAAGTGCATGCCGTTGGCCCAGGTGGATTAATGAAACCATCAGATTTATGATACCATCGCCTGTGGTTGCAGACATGAATGTGTCGGAGGGGGGATTCACTTGAAATGTTGGCGAATTGCAAGATTTGGTTAATTAAATATTTTCATGCATCAAGTAGAATCGAGTTGCGCAAGTGATTGAAATAATCTATTTTACCAGTTCTTCTCGTTATTTAATTAAAAAAAAGTGGAGATCAACATAACATTTTTTTTTTCCTGTTTACATACTTGTGAAGACATATTTTCGGGTTAATTAATCGCTCGGGATTCCCAGGAACACGTAGAATTCCCCAAATGAACGGCCGCGATGAAGACAAATTGCCGAGAGCCCCGTGCTCCATCACTCCAACTCTTGTCTTATTTCTGAAAAGTTAGAAATCAAGCGTCACTCGGGTGTTCTTTCTCTTTCTTTCAACAAACATTAACGCCTCTTGGGTCTCTAGGCTCAAAGCAAGGGTCGAGGAGGCACGAGGCGCGTCAGGCCACTTACAATTTTTCGATTAGCCTGCGTAAACACTCGTTGGAAAACCAAACACGCTACCAAGTACAGAAGGCTTGTTTTAACGCGCCCGTTTGAGGGAGATTCTTACTCCCCCCGAGTAACTAATGTTGATGTTTTCCGAAGTAACATTCCTTGTTCGTAACTAACCTCATGCGGACGCGTCTACAAACACCCTCTCCTTTGAAATTAAAAAAACGGATTTTTTTTTTAAATCAGAATGCGCAGTCCTTGAAGATCATTTGATAAGAATTTTTTCCGGCTTTATTTGGCCTGACGTGCATTCTGGATTGATCATCAGATATAGGGTGTACCGTTGGACAAAATGTATTGCGTCACTGTATTAGATGATAAATGCTTCTAATGATATTTATGTGATCGAAATCTTCGCCCAGTCATTGAATGTGCTATTGTACCGAAGAAGTCGCAAGATTTATCTACTTGCCGGAAATGATTGTCATTTCGAAAGAACGCGCTGGAATTTCACATGAAATACTTTCCGAAAGATATTGACTCAAATCCGCAACTTTATTCGTCTTAGAATTTTGCGGGCAATGAGAGCAATTATACCAGGATTCTACTCTATTTGAAATTTCTTCTTCTTGTTATGATGATTCGCAAGGAGCATCGATTTCCATTTCAAACTTTTCTCTTTGCCCAATCCGATGTCTATCACAAGTTCCTTCACATCGCGAGGACAGTTTGTCGGAAAAGTCATTGGTCTTCGCGATCCATTATCCGGATGAAATGTCTCATGAGTAAAATAGAAAATAGATGAACTTCAGCGCAGTGACACGTAAACTTTATGATGAAGAAAAAAAAAAGAACTCACGGATGTAGTTTATTCGGGCAGTAGTCAACGGCCGACAGATGTGGAAAAAACGTGTTATATCTACACCGGTAACAATACCTCCACAATTTATACCTCCAATAGTATATAATGCTCGAAATAAATTAAACTGTTTATCTTCAGCTTTTAATAATAGCAAACGAGAGGTGGGGTGGCGGTGAGTTTATCCACAAGCCGGGGAATCCTCGGTGCGCCCCCACGACCATAAAATTTCCAACAAAAGCAGTCATGCATGCAGTGTAGCTTTCGAATAATGCGTGATAGAGGAGAGGGTGAAAGAGAATGAGAGAATGAGAGGAGAGAGTCGACGAAAACCTGATGTGCACGCACGTACAAATTCGTGGCGTGCTCGACTCGATTTTCAAAGTTATGTTTGTCCCAGGGGGAAGCGCGTCGAAATGCATTAAATATTTATGCGCCCCCGACCCCTCAGGGCTCCTCTCTTTCCCTACTGTCAGGGTAAAACTAAACGTACCTGGTCTCGCACGAAACTCTATTTATTTCCTTTTGCTTTTCGTTCAGTTGGACGGGCATTCTTTTTCGATGAATCCGACCGTCAGGTCCGTCGGGGTTAACCCACCAGAATTTTCACTGTTATGACGGCACTGATCAAACAGAAACAGAAAGAAAAACATTGGATTAAAGATATTGATCATTTCTCCATAGTTTTTACTTGACAATCTCCCGAACCTGAAAGGTACATTATCATGATTATCAAAGTCATCAATTACCGTTGTTAAAACAAGAATTTATACAAATAATTATCGTTTTATAATGAATCCCGGAATTCCTGAAATAATTAAAATTTTATTTGAGCGGAGGTAGAATACGAGAAAAATTATAAAAACGTGGGCCGGATATTTGAGTTGAAAAAATTCGTTGTGAATTTGTGAATTATGTCTTTTTCTGGTATTGTGACGGGTTAGACAAATGGTATAATAAATAATCTACGACATTTTGTAGATATATTTTTGGAGCAGTTGAGGTTGTTCAAGTCGATGAAACGTAGAAATTAATCAGAGTGGAACGTAACTGTCTACTCGGATAATGAACGGGATCTACAGGAGGTTTACAAGTGCAATTATTCTGGGAGTGAGGTATGCTAGGAGAATCATGCATGCTAATGTCATGGTGATGGTTTAGCGTGAATTTGTTATGCCAATGGCGAACACAAGTGATACGGTTCAATGGGGAGGTGGGTGTGGTAGGTGAACGGAGGGTTCGATATGTTCATCGATAACTTTCTCTGAACGGTTGCCGTAATGTCAAAGATCCACTTTGACGTCGGGAAACTAATGGATGGTCGGTTAGACAGACCCGTGGCACAGGTCAAACAAAGAATTATTCAAGGGGTTGGAAATACGACTTTTCAGAATTTACCTTGGGATATTTTTTTCATGGTGGGTGTGGTTCAGCATAATTTATGCTTTTAGGGGCTTTTCGAGTTTGTTTTAATTCCAAATGGCCCTCATTCGGAGAAAATTAAACAAGTCCAGGTAAAAAAGTTATCATCAAACTTTCGTTTCCAAATCCCAGAAAATCTATTCGGAATTTTCACGGAATTAAAAAAAAATGTTTCTTACATCAATCACTAAAAACTATAAATTCTGATTAAACGATTACATTA